ACCGTGAATAGAATGTGCATTCTACTATTGTTGAATGGAAAATTCTATAAATGCCACACAGGTCAATTTGGTTGGTAGTATTCTATTTCCACACTGATTTTTTTCTATGTACTTGCTCTGTCAGTTACTGAGAGGTGGCAGTTTGTCTAGTTCTTTCAGTTAGGCTAGGTGTTTTTGTTTTCTTAATTTAAAAAATTGAGATAAGAATTAACTCTCCAAATCTATTTCGGAGAATATAGTGATTTGGGGGATGGCTATTCTGAATTCATCCATGGAGTAATTTGGTTAAATCATAACTAAATGATGAAACCAGGTTATTGTTGACAAGCTTCTTTTTATCTGAAACTAATTGACTTCAAATCAAGAATACCTTTATTCTTTTTAAAAATAGATTTTTTGAGATATAATTCACACACCAGAAAATCTACCCTTTTAAAGTACGTAATTGAAAAGTGTGCTCACAGAGTTGTACAACCACTACCTAGTTTTACAATACTTCCAGTACCCCAAAAAGAAACTCCATTAGCAGTCACTGGTTAGTTTCTGCTTTATGTATCCTGAAGCTCTCTTATTAGACAGAGCTTGTATTTAGGCTCTGACACCTTCTAGCTAAGCTGACCTCATCATTATGTAATGTCCCTTTTTGCCCTTGGGAGATTCACTTTGTCTGATTGTAATATAGTCTCTCTGGCTTTCTCTGGATTAGTATTTTCATTTTCCATCTTTTCCTTCTCTTTTAACTTATCTAAGGCTTTATATGGAAAATGAGTTTCTTGTAGATATTATTTAAGTGGACTTTTTGAAACTCCTATTTGCTAAGCTCTGCCTTTTGATTGGAATGTTTGCATTATTTATAGTTAGTGTAATTATTGACATGGTTGGTTTTAATTCTACCCTCTTGCTAGTTGTTTTCTATTTGTTCCAGCTGTTCTTTCTTTCTTTTCTCTTCTTGTCTAGTATTGGATCAAGAAAGTATTTTTATGATTCTATTTTATTTCCACTATTGGTTTATTGTTATACCTCTTAGATCATTTTTTTCTTAGATAGTTTTTAAGAGGCTGCTTTAGGATGACAATATGCCTCCAACAGTTATTATCAAAGTCCTCAGATTGTGCTTTGCGACTTCACATACAGCATAAAACCTTATAACACTGTGTTTCCATTTCCTCCCTTATCCACTGAGCTACTGTTATACATTGTATTTCTTGGTAGTTTATAAATCCCCCTGCTATTTTCTCTTTTAGGCAGTCATTTATATGCTAAAACTATTAATAAGAAAATTGTTTTTACACTTACCATTTTACTATTTCTAGCACTCTTCATTTCTTTGTATAGATCAAAATTTTCCCTCTAGTGTCATGTTCTTACTGGAAGAACTTCCTTTAACATTTTTTGTAGTGCAGATTTGCTGCCTGCTTTTATTTGTCTGTAAAAATATTTCTAGTTAATTTTTGAAAGGTATTTTCAGTGTGTACAGAATTTTGAGTTGATAGTCTTCTTTTCCTTTCAGTACTTTAAAGATGATACTTCACTGTCTTCTGGTTTGCATTAGTTTCTGAAAAAGGGTCTGTTTTTTTTTAGATGGAGTCTCCATCTGTCACCCTGACTGGAGAGCAGTGGCGTCATCATAGCTCACTGCAACCCCAAACGCCTGGGCTTGTGCAATCCTCCTGCCTCAGCCTATTTTTTCTAGAGGCAGGGTCTCACTCTTGCTCAGGCTGGTCTCAGACTCCTGAGCTCACAGTGAATCTCCTGCCATTGGGACATACCCAGAGTGCTAGGATTAATAGGCATGATCACTGCACCTGCCTATTGTTATTTGTTCCTTCTCTATATAATTTTTTTCTTGTTGCATTATGATTTTCCTTGTATCTTTGATTTCACTCAGTTTGACTATAATATGTATGAGTGCCTTATATTTTTAAAAAATTTTTTATGCTTGGGGTTCTCTGGATTCTGGATCTGTAATCATTGTCTTTTACTACTTTGGGAAAAATTCAGACTATCTCTTACATACGTCTCTGTTCCACTATTTTCTGTCTTTTCTTCTTGCCTCCAATTGATATATTTTAGAGCATTCTATTGTTGTCCATAGTCTTTGGTTTTTTTCTTTCCTTTTCCCTCTTTGTGTTTCGTTTACGCGTTTCTATTGACCATGTTCAGGTCTCCGAGGCGGTGTCAGCGCGCGCTGCTGACCTTGCCTGTCACCACGCTCCCATCGGATGTTTCCGCCTGGATCTTTCTGTCGTTTGCACTTCTCCCCCAGTGTCCACCACTTTCCATCACGGCGCTCCTTTCCACTAGATCTTTACTAATTGAGTTATTAATGTCCCTGTTTGATAGTTCCAAAACCGAATCATGTCCAGCTCTGCGTTATATTGACTTATCTTGGAAAAGGGTGGATTTTTTGATTCTTTTCAATTTGTTAAATGACAGATATTAGTGAGTGAAGAAGAGTGAAGACTGAGGTAAATAGTATTATGCTCAGAAAAAGGCACACCTCTTTTTGGTTGGGCCCTCATGGAGGGAGTTGAGTGAATGTAACTAGGTGATCAGGTACGATTTTGTTTGATTAGTTATTCAGGTCGTAGACTTAATTCCAGCCGAGGGCTCTATTGTCTTGAGTGTGGGGCGGAGCTGAAGGTTTTAGTTTATATTCATGCTCCACCTTCCACTTGCAGGATCCTGTACTGGCCTGGCGGGGCTCCCTTCATGCTCCAGCTCCGCCACAGATGGCGCTGTCGCCAGGCTACGTGGCGGCGAAGGGAGGGCCTTTCTGCCAGTTCAGCCCGCCTCAGCTCACAGTGGGCATCGATGTTGCCCGCAGAAGCGGGCTTTCTCAGCATTCTTATCCTTCTCCTTCATCTGGGGGACGGGTTCTGGGGCGTTCCCCCCTTCCCAGACGCAGCGGATCTTCGGTGCCTGGTTGGAGCGTTGCGTCCCTCCCCCAGAGGCAGACGGATTTTGCTTCCGCTCCTCCTGAGCAGCCGGATCTCCGCTTAGACCCGGCAGCAGGAGCGTTTCCCGCCCCGCCCATACCCAGAGGTGTAAGCTGCTGTTTCTTTTGAAAGGAAGGTCAGGAAGGAGCTAGGCTGTCATGCATGTCACCACGGGGGAGGAGGGCTGCTTCCCCAGCCCCCAGCCTGGCCCTCAGGCGTCCCGTGATCACCTGGTGAGGCCAGTGGAAAGAGCCAGCGTGGACAGCCTTTGCATCCAGGACTCAGTTATTCTAAAACTGTCCTGCTGGGTCGTAGTCAGTCTTTAAGAATCCATCACAACTGAATCTTTTTCTTGTCTTCTTTTATGATGATCTCCTCTTCCTCCCTTGTCCTGCCAAGGATGAAGCAGTTGCTGGGTTCCTGCTCTCCTTGGAGGGGCTTATCACTGTCGGAAGCTCAGCAAGCTCTGTGGCCCGGCAGCCTCAGCTCCGGGCTAACTCGTAAGAGCCATTATCCTGCAGGCACTTGGCTTTCTGTTATCCTAGGGTGGCAGGGATGCTCTCCTGCAGCTTATGGCATCCTAAGGGGAAGCAGGCCCCTCCCTCCAGATTTCTTTTTATCTCTTCTAATGTTGCTATTTTTCTTGATTTTAGATGTTTTGATAGCTTGTGGCAGTTTAAAATAATTTTGGATTCAATCACCAAAAACACTGCTTTTAATGGATTAAACAAATAGGGATGTATTTTTCTCACGTAATCAGAAGCTGGGAGGTTGGCAGCCCCAGTACCGGCCCAGGGGCTGTTCTTCTCCTGGTCCTTCCCTCTTGCTTGTCTCCTCAGGGTTGCGAGACGGCCACTCCCACTGCAAACAAAACGTCTGAATTCAAGGCAGCAAGAAATGCGATGGGAGCGGAGTCCAAGGAGCGTCCCGGGCTTGGGGCTGGGGAAGGCACGTGGGCGGCTTGGCCTCCTGTGAGGGGTGTGCTCCTCCACTACTCACGCTCAACGCAGAACACTTCCGTGCCCAGAGGTGGGGGTTTCTCCCACCCCACGCAATTCTCCAGTTCTCGTGGACACCAATTTTATGTTCTACCTTCCGATTTAATTCTGAAATTAACCGTAGTTAGTGCAAACCCCACAGGTTAAGGGCTCAGTCCCAAAAGACTGCCCCCTCTTCACACACCAATCACAAGCGGTAGTGACACGGAAAACTGCAGCGCCGGGAGGCCGGCTCCCGTCCCCACCGCCGCCGGCCCTCTCCCGCCCGCCACCGCCTGCCCCACCGCCTCCGCCCGCCCCCGCCACCACCGCCTCCCCCACCGCCGCGCACCGCCTCCGCCAGCCGCCCGCCACGCGCCGCTCCCGCCGCCACCGCCCGCCGCTCCGCCCGCCCGCACCGCCCTCCGGCCACGCCCGCCCCGCACGCCTCCCCGCCCACGCCCCGCCACCCGCCGCGTTCGCCGGCACCGCCCTCCGCCACACGCGCCCGCCACCGCTCCCGCCCACCGGCCGCCACCGCCCTCGCCCCCGCCGCCCAGCCCGCGCGCTCGCCCGCGCCGCCCACCGCCTCGCCGCCGCGCACCGCCTCACCGCCACGGCCTGCCCGCAACCGCCGCCCCGCCACCGCCGCCGCGCTCGCCACCCGCCCACCGCCTCGCCACGCCCCCCGCCACCGCCCGACCGGCGCCATCCGCCGCACGCCACCGCCTCCCGCCCACGCCGCGCACCGCGCCCCGCACCGCCGCCGCGCTCGCCTCCCCCACCGCCTGCCCGCACCAGCCCTGATCCGCTCGCCCACCCCGCCGGTGCTTTGATGCGGCTGGAGCCGTGAGTGCACTGCTGGCACGACTCGCGGTTGGTCTGCTCCCGACCTCGACCGCTGCTCCAGTGATCCTGATTGGGTATTTTTTGAATCCCACTGTTGCTCATTGGATGTTTTTTTTTTCTTTTTACCAATTTTAAATACGGTTTTATTTAAGACATTGCATTTTCCACTTGCGATGCAGTGCCTATAAAGTGCGATGTCGTTTCTCCCCGTGCACATGCTCCATGTTCAAGTTTTGAGAGTGCCCAGTAATTTGCTATAGCAGCTCAACTTTAAATCTGCCACATAATTTGGTACAAATTTAGATCCTTCAATGTGTGTACTGTGTGGCACACTGCTGCATCTATGCTTGGGTTGGCTTAATCAGCCTCTTCAGTGGTGGGGCCCCACCACCTGGGAAGCCCCCAGGCATGCCTCCTGCACTCTGGTTCAGCTGGTAATGATGGGGTTGCAGACTTTCTCCCGCTCCTTCTGCTGATGTTCAAATTCTTCCTTCTCTGCAGTCTGGTTCTTATCAAGCCAGTTGATAATTTCATTACACTTGTCAAGAATCTTCTGTTTGTCCTCATCATTGATCTTGCCTTGAAGTTTCTCATCTTCAACAGTTGCTTTCATGCTGAATGCATAGGATTCAACTGAATTCTTTGATGACACTTTGTCCCTCTGCTTCTCATCTTCAGCTTTGTACTTCTCAGCTTCCTGGACCATATGTCCAATGTCTTCCTTGCTCAAACCACCCTTGTCCTTAGTGATGGTAATCTTATTTTCCTTTCCTGTGCTCTTATCCACAGCAGAGACATTGAGAATGCCATTGGCCTCAGTATCAAAAGTGACTTCAATCTGAGGAACTCCCCGGGGGCAGGAGGTGTGCCTGTGAGTCCAAACTTGCCAAGTCACTTGTTATCCTTAGTCATGGCACGTTCACCTTCGTAAACCTGAACGAGCTCACCAGGCTGGTTGTCAGAGTAGGTAGTGGAGATCTGAGTCTGCTTTGTAGGAATAGCAGTATTGCGCTTAATGAGTACAGTCGTAACTCCATAACTCCATAACTCTTGGTATTGTTTCAATACCAAAAGAAAGAGGAGTGACATCCAGGGGTAGCAAATCTGGAATGTTCTCAGATTTGTCTCCAGACAGGATGGCCGCCTGGACAGCTGCACCATAAGCAACGGCCTCATCAGGGTTGATACTCTTATGCAGTTCTTTTCCATTGAAGAAGTCTTGCAAAAGCTTTTGAATCTTGGGGATGCGGGTAGAACCACCAACCAGGACAATGTCATGAATCTGTGACTTGTCTAGTTTGGCATCTCGAAGGGCTTTCTCTACAGGGTCCAGAGTGCCACGGAACAGATCAGCATTCAATTCTTCAAATCGGGCATGGGTAATGGAGGTATAGAAGTCGACTCCTTCGTAAAGTGACTCAATCTCAATGCTGGCCTGGGTGCTGGAAGACAGGGCACGCTCAGCATGTTCACAAGCAGTACGGAGGCGTCGGACAGCTCTCTTATTCTCACTGATGTCCTTCTTATGCTTGCGCTTTATTCAGCAATAAAATGGTTGAGTATTCGGTTGTCAAAGTCTTCTCCACCTAAGTGTGTATCTCCAGCTGTAGATTTGACCTTAAAGATTCTATCCTCAATAGTGAGGATTGACAAATCAAAAGTGCCACCTCCCACTTCAAAGATCAGCACATTTCTGTCGGCTCCAACCTTTGTGTCTAAGCCATAAGCAATACCAGCAGCAGTGGGTTCATTTATAGTCCTAAGAACATGGAGACCAGCAATAGTTCCAGCATCTTTGGTACCCTGACGCTGAGAGTCATTAAAGTAAGCTGGGCCTGTGACCACAGCATTGGTAACAGTCTTTCCAAGATAGGCTTCTGCGATTTCCTTCACCTTAGTCAGAACCATAGATGACACCTCCTCGGGATGGAAACTTTTTGTCTCTCTCTTGTATTCTACTTGGACCTTGGGCCTGCCTGCATCATCCACCACCACAAAGGGCCAGTGCTTCATATCAGGCTGGACAACAGCAGCATCAAATCTGCATCCGATCAGACATTCGGCATCAAAAACCATGTTGGTGGTATTCATTGCAACTTGATTCTTCACAGCATCACCAATCAATCGTTTGGTATCAGTAAAGGCAACATAGCTTGGAGTGGTTCGGTTTCCCTAATCATCGGCAATTAGCTCTACCTTTCCATGCTCACTTGCAGGGCCGGCCGGCTTGCGAAGAGCACACAGAAAAACCCAGAGCTGCCGCCACGTTCAATGAGGTGCTCATTGGATGTTAAAGCTTGTTGCAGGTTGGATGCTTTATGGAGTCCTACCAAGAGTATAAAAGCAGGAGGAGCAAAAGGAAGGGGGGAAGTCAGAAGTCCGCTGAGCCTGTGGGAAGAGGCTCTGTTCTTTCTGCTACCCTCTGTTCTTTCCCTGGTCAAGCGCTGTAACACTAGCTGTGACACCTTGCCGTGACAGTGGCAGGTCCCCAGCTTACCCACAACTTCTGTCCAGAGTGGTCACAGAGTAGAGCTTCTTGTGCTCCCCTCTGGGGTTTGATAATTTGCTAGGATGGCTCACAAAACTGAGGGAAACAATTGACTTACTAGGTTACCGGTTTGTTACAATGGATCCCACTCACTAACAGCCACATGGAAGCGACACCTAAGGCACGGTGTGGGGGAGGGGACAGGGCCCCGTGCCCTCTCCAGGAGGGCCACTCTCTGCAGAGTTCAGCAACTGGAAGCTCTCCAACCCCTTCCTTTTGGCTTTTTATGGAGGCTTCATCATGTAGGCATGGTTATTTAAATCAGTGGCCAGTGGGGATCAACTCAACCTTCAGCCCCTCTCCTGTCCTCAGAGGTCAGGGCATGGAGCTAAAAGTTCTAACCCTCCAATCACAAGGCTGGTTTCCCTAGCAACCAGTCCCCATTATTAGGGCTTTCTGAAAGTCACCTCATTAACATAAACTCAGGTATGGTTAAAAGGGGCTTGTTATGGATAATGAGAGGCACTCCTACTACCTTGATCTTTCTTGTCACTTAGGAAATTCCATGGGTGTTGGCAGCTCTGGCTGGGATCGGGACTGTAACGATTATAAGTCCCTATCCTGCGGGGTTCTTGCTCATGTTGCCTGGGCATCACCCTTCACCTGGACTGACCCTAGCAGAGCTCTCCCGAGTCCTCCAGAGAGGGAAACGCTCTGTTGCGGTTCTGTACCAACTCTGGATCTCAGTAAGTATGAAGAGGCTGTCCGAGGCCCTTCCCCTTGCGATTCAGTCTTCGGTGAATAGATAATCATCCTTTCCTTCTTGCTCTACTTTGAAATGGGTGGCAATTTGATGAGGTGCCCCGGGCCCATCTGCTTGGACAGCCTGCAAACATTGCTTCCCCTCCACTCCTGGGGACGGGAGACCCTCTTGTTGGTCATGGATTTCCACTTCTCTGGGGCCTTTCCTCTTCTTTCTCCACTTTCACGAGCCACAAACTATCTAGATTTCTGTTTTCCTCAGCTGTCACCACTCCCGGACTACGATTGGTGATGCAAAATAAAAATAAAATCCTACGCCTCTGCCCCAAAACTGATTTGACAGACCCTTCTTGGCCAAGGAGAGCCCAGAGAAACCTTAAGTTTCCAGACCATGGGAGGCCAGCCACACCTCAGTGTGCCCGGTTACTCGCTGACATTTGCCAGGTTATTTCCTGGGAGTTGAACAGAAACCGGCCCAGGAGAGCAGTGATGGCCCTGCTCCGTCACTGACTTCAGCTAATCACTGGACGTCACAGCCGGACTCCCCTCCTTTCTTGTGGTTTCCACGAGGCAGCCGACTGGCTTCACCACGCATACCACGCCATAGGATCATGATAAAGTTCTCCTTTCCACAGACTGGTTGTGGCTGGTTTACAGAGGCTGCGCACAAGGTGCCTGTGTCCTTTGCTGCATAGAGCTTAATGGGAACGCATTTAAATGTTCAGCGTTCACCCCAAAGTAACCATCAGACATATGGATGTATATAACATACATGTTTGCCCACCATGCATGCAAACGACCACCCTTCATGGATATTCATAACTCCTCCTATAACCTATTGAACATGTGTATTTAGCCAATCCATTTAGCATGAAACTCCTGTCCCACCCTTGCTCCAGGGAGGCGCCTGCTTTGGGTCCCAGCCAAAGGCTCTGCTTCCTGGCCTGCGGGTTGCAACCCTTTTCATGAAATAAAGCTCTCCTTTCCAAATGTATGGATTTCCTGATTTTTAGGTCAATAGTGGACAGCGTAGACAGGCCCTCTTCTCCAGGGCCTGCAGGGCCGTCACTCCAGCGTAGTGGCTAAGGGTATGGGCGCCACCACGTCTCCCAGGTTTAATCACTGTTCACCCCTGTACGAGCTGGGCCATGGTTTCCTCACCTGCAAACTGGAGATCAGAACAGAGCCTACCTCAACGGGTTATTTTAGGGATTAAATAATTAATATATTAATATACAGAAACACAAAAATTATTATAGTGGCACATAGTAATCAATAAATGGTAATGATGTTGTTATTATCATGACTTACTTGAACCTCCAATCCCGGAGATATTTTCCTACTCTTAGGTAAGAGAGAAATAGGTGTTTTTTACACCATGGGTTGCATTTAGGTAAAGGCTTTTGAAATTCCAAAAGCTTCAACTTTTGAAATCCAAAAGCCTTTGTTTTCAATCCATCATCCTTGTCATGAGTTTTAAAAGTATATTTTAAACCTCAAAGTTTTGTTCTTTCTTCAGTGTCCATGTGTTCAGTACATTCCATGTCTTTGCACACGTTTTTGTAAAGCCCTCCTTCTCTTTGGTGCCACTGACCAAGTTGGGAAGTGACTAGGGAGTGGAAGAGATTGCTGGGGAAAGAGACTCACAGGTTAACATAGCAACACATTATCTCTTGAGTCTGAGTGACAGTCACATATTTCTGAGTCTGCCTGGCACATTAATTGGCGGGGGTAGGTTTGCCCCCTGTCTCTCTGAATGTAGAAAGAAAAGCCTTTTAGCAAAATGTGTCCAGAGTGAAGGGGAAACCAGAAGCTATGAACTCAGTGATTTAGAAGACCTTGGTCCTTGCAGAGGAACTGTGCTCACTGCAGCGTGGTGTGTTTGTGTCTTGGCCTCACTCTTAGGAGGTCCGTATCAGAGGCAGGAAGCCAAACCCACTGACGCATGTATTCACTCTCTATTGTTGCATAACAAATCACTGCAATATTAATAACTTAAGACAACACACATTCCTTATCTCACAGTTTCTGTGGGTCAGGAATCGGGGCATGGCTTAGCTGGGTTTTCTGCTTCAGGGTCTCTGACAAGGCTGCAATTAAAGTGTCAGCCGGAGCTAAGGTTTCATCTGAAGGCACAACTGGGGAGGGGTCTGCTCCCAAGCTCACTTACACAGGAGTTGGCAGAATTTCAGTTCCACAGGCCCATTGGACTGAGTTCCTCGCTGGCTATTGGCAGAGGCTGCCTTCAGCTCCTTGCCACGTGAACCTCCCTAATGTGGCAATTTCCTTCACCAAAGGTAACCGAGAGAGTCAGCTAGCACACTGGGGGTCACAAGTTCATGTAGCCTAACCACAGGAGTGACCTCTCGTCACCTCTGCCATAATCTGTTGGCTAGAGGCAAGTCGCAGGCCAGCCCACATTCCAGGGAAGGGCTTCACAGAAGTGTGTGAGTACCAAGAAGGGATCACTGGGGGCCTCTTAGAACCCGTCTGCCACGAGGCACACATTGCTGTGGGATTCCTCTAACAGAACATAACACAAGGGGAAAGGCGTCTTCCACCCTCAATTCGACACACAGTCTTGCAAAGATTTGGGATGCTTGGCAGGCCACCCGACTGCTCCCCAGACTCCCCTGGGACGTCCAGCCTGACTTCCTCGGGCAGGCTCGGTCCCTCCCCGCTCTGTGCCACCGTAACTCCTGGCTCAGCCCTCATCCTGTGAAGCACCTTCCCCCCAGCCTGGCTGCTGTCTGAGGGCTAGGTCTGACCCACTTCTGAGACCCCAGCATTGCCCAGGGCAGAGATGAGGAGATACTGCAGGAAATATTGGTGGAATTTAACAGATGTATGGTTTATACACAAAAGGACACTAGGTCCTCAGGCCAGGAGGGCGGCAGGGCACCTCTGATCCTGGAAGATCATGAACAGTGAACAACAGTGAGGCCCAGCACCCCCAGGCACTGTCTCCGCCAAGCCCTGCTGAGGGTGTAGGGTACGGGCGAGTGAAGGGGTACCCTGCGCTGGGCCTGGTCTCCAAGCACCTCAGGCTGACCTGGGCCTGTGGCGTCTACACCGTGCTGACCCCACCTGCTGTACACTCAGAGACCAAATCCTTCGGTTTCCTCTCTGATGATGCCACAGCTGCTGCCAGGGGCCCCTTAAACCCCTTCTCAGTGGGGACTCAGTGTGCTCGGGTGTGTGGTGTGTGTGTGTATGTGTGTGTGTGTGTGTGTGTGTGTGAGCATGTGTGCATGTGTGTGTGTGCGTGTAAGTTGCTGATTCTAATTATCCTTTAAATTATTTCTCTTAATTTTCATCCTTTCCTCTCTGGGTCTTACCTTCATCATCCATAAAATGCTCTGACAGCACATTGTGGCAGTTAGCTGTCCTACAAGATTGAGGATGGCAACTCCTTCAGAACACTGTGCCCTCCTGTCCCGGTGGATCTTAGGATCCTTATTCTGGTAGACTAGACTCCAGACACGAGGGGGACCCACCTGTACCTGTCTCTCAGGAGACGGGGCGATTGTGGGTTTTCCTGGTTCCTTAGGCTTCAGCAACATCTCGGATTCTTGGCTGGCTTTGACTTTAGGGCTCTTTGCTCTGATCGCTGCAGTTGTCTTTGCCTGCTTCATTCTGACGTGGTTCACTCTAAGGAAACGAGCTTCTGGTTGGCTGTGGCTCTCCACCTCCCTGTGTCCCCACACGGGCTCTGGTCTTGGTCAGGAGCTCTGGTTTAGAGCCTCAACAACACTTCCAGTGTGCTGTGTGACCTAGGGAAAGCCTCATACCCTCTCTGGGAGTTGGTTGCACACCCTATATAATGGGGATACCCTGTTAATCAGGCCATAGGGCTCAGATGAGGTCAGCTATGAAGGGGCCTTGCAGCCTATGAAGAGACTGTTCTTGGTCTTTGATGATACTTTGAAAATAGCGCCTCAGTTTGCCCTGCCGCCTAGCTCCTCTTCTTTCTCCCCCCAATTCCCACACTTCTGGCCGCCCCTCATCACTCGCCCCAGCTCAGGCCTGGCTCCTCCCCGCAGCGACCTAAGCCCCAGCCTCTGGCCTCGCTGTCTGGTCCGTGTCCGGCCCCAAGCTCATCCTTCCCCTCCCAGCTGTCTCCCGCGGCCCCAGCCGAGGGTTCGGTCAACGCGCTGCTGTCGGGGCAGCTCCGCTGCCGACGCTCCGGCCTGGCCCGCCCCCCGTAGCCCGGCCCCCCGCAGCCCTGCCCCCGCAGGTCTGCCCCCTCCACAGCCTAGCCCCCCCCCCTCCGCAGCCTGCTCCCCCAGCCCTGCCCCCCGCAGCCCTGCAGCCCTGCCCTGCTCGCACCCGGGCCTCTCGCCAGCACGGCCAGCAGAGCTCTCGGCTCCTTGTGAACCTACACCAAGAACGTTGTCAACCTTGTTTTTTAGCCACTACCTGTCACTCTCCATGCACCTGACACTATACAAAGACACTGGACATGTCTCCAACGTGCCCCTGGATTTGTGCACATAAAGGTTGAGTATCCCTTATCTAAAATGCTCAGGACCAGAGTGTTTCAGGTTTCATAGTTTCAGATTTTGGAATATTTGCATACACATAATGAGATACCTTGGGGATAAGACCCAAGTCCAAACACAAAATTCATTTATATTTCATACACACCTTAGCCTGGAGGTAGTTTTATACACTATTTTTAATAATTTTATGTAAGAAAAAAAGTTTGCATGCACTGAGCCATCACATAAGGTCGAGTGTGGAATTTTCCACTTGAGGTGTCATGTAGGCTCTCAAAAAGTTTTGGATTTGGGGTCATTTCCAATTTCAAAGTTTTGGCTTGGGGATGCTCAGCGTGTACTGCTTCCCACCACGCCCATGCCTCCTCAGCCCCCAGGCCCCCGCGGGATGGCACCTGGGGGACTCTCTGCCGGCCTCTCCGGGGCTGCCGGTCCCTCCCCAGCTTTCTCCTTTACAACATGTGCTGCGAGGGTCTGTCCCCTGGGCCTGTTTCATGGCTGACAGCCCTGGTGGTGGTGACTGTTGGGTGCCTCTTTCCCTTTCTAAACCCTGGGCAGCTTGGGGGCAGGGTCCCATCTGTGCCTTCACTGTGCCCTCACCACAGCCAGGGCCGGCCAGGCGCAGGCTGTGGGACAGGCTGGCAGGTGCATCCCACCCCCGGTACTCACAGGAGGGGGAGGAGGCAGAGGGAGAGCAACGCGACTGCAGTGGCTCCGTAGACTACACCCTGCACCAGCCCTTTCATGGACCTCTGAGAAACCAGAGAACCTGGAAGTGGAGCAATGAGAAGTTCCGCATCGGAGCCAAAGCTCTGCTCCCTCCCCCATTCCCGGGGCCAGACCCCATCCGGCTCCCGTCCTCACCCAGACACCCGCCCCTCCAGCCTCACCTGACATTAGGAGGATGCTCATCGAGTGCGTTCCGTTTCCGTTCTCTCCCTCACAGAGAAGTCCCATGCCCATTTCCGGCTTCCCGGGCAGCCGGAGGGTGCTGTTGGCCCAGGGCCCGAGCGTGGTGGACGTGGTGGACGTCACCTGGGGCTGCCGTCTGTGCCATTCACACCCAAGAGGGCGCCTCCCACCCGCCACTGCACGGAGGGCGTGGGGACCCCTGGAAGGAGCAGCTGCACTGCAGCGTCTGCTCCAAGGAGCAAGAGTTGTGGAGCAGCCTGGCAGGAGCTGTGGGAGGGAGGGTCGGGAGTCAGCAAGGCATCCTGACCTCCCTCGTCCGGTTCCTCCAGGACCCAGCCTTCTCTTCAGTCGCTATTCACAGGAGTTTCGGAAGCCTTTCTGGGAGCCCACAGGATCACAGGATCCAGCCTTTGCTCAAAGACCAGTTCCTCCTCTTTATCCTCTTTCCTCATCTGGCCGGAACCCGAATGCTGGACCTTGTAGACAGAGGGTGAGTACACGTCCTGAGGAGCTGCACTGCCTGTGATCTCTTGCAACCCCGGCCAGGCGGCCAAGCCTGAGCTCTGCTCTGCCTCTTGGCTTCCCTCCCCAAGCTTCCCCTCAGGCTCTGTGATCAGTTTCTCCCTCCTCACTTACTGTCTGGGTGTTGCTGGGCGAGGCACTTCCCTTCTCGGTGCTGTTTCCTAGTCTGTAACACTGGGACAGTCACTGGACCATCTCATACCATCACTGCTGCAAGGATGAACACCCTAGGACTCGTAGTGCCCCTAGCTCTGTGCACGGTAAGGTGTTGCACATTCGATAAATAGAGCTCCTTTCTCCATTTCCTTCCTGCCAGTCCCAAGTGGCCTTTGACTGAGCATTCACTGGAAGCCAAGACAGCTATGGCATCTTCCGGATAAGAAGATTAAAACTGCCTTGCTCTCCACAGAATAGGGAGGGCACGTTGACCATTGGGTGAGTACCATGGATTAATAAGAAATGGTCACCTTCATCAGGGTCCTCAACAAAAAGGAACTGGTCTTTAGAGTTTTCACATACTTTTTTTTCCTTTGAGGTTGAGGTTACTGGCAGAAAGGGGTAACTTCCTCGGAACCAGGAGCTCTTGACCTTGGTATCTTCAGCTAGGCCACTTGGGCGGGGGCATCTTGGGGAATTTGCAGGGATTGTGATGCACAGCCCCTCCACCGCCGTCCTCCGGCTGTCGTTCCCATCTGAGAAAGCATCTGTGCAAACGCTGGACACTGGCTCCCTTCGGGGCTCTGGTCGTATCTGAAACGGCTCCCTGTGCTCCCGTCCTCCCGCCCCCGACTGCACCACCCTCGCTCTCAACCCCACTCCCTGGCTGGTCTGCTCTTTGCTCCAGACACCCCCGGCCCCGCCAGAATCTGGCACACGGGGTCGAATCCACATGGGTTATCTGGTACTTGTGCCCTTACGTCCTCGTTCTTCATGGCACCACAGCCCCCGGCCGCCCCAGCTGCCCCAGCCCGGAGTCTCTCTCACCCAGCTGGGCAGGGGAGGCCCCATCGGCAGCAGCAGCGGTTCCCAGGGCCAGCGGGGCCTTTTGTGACTCGGGCTCTGACATCAGGACCGTGCAGTTCAGAAGGGGTGAGGCGATGGGCAGCTGGAAGAGGATGTGGGGGTAGGGAGAGCAGAAGGCATTCTTAGCAAGAAGGCAGGGGCTGCCATCTCTTTGGCCACCCCAAAGCCTGATCGCCTGGAGAAGCAGGAACGTGGGATGAAATGCTCACGAGCACCAGGGACAGGGAGGCACCGTCTGACCCCCTGTGAAGCCCCAGGCCCAGTCTCCTTTGTTCTCCCCCCCAGTCTCCCTCCCGGCGCCCACCCCCTTGGGGCCTCGGGCGCCAGGTCCTTTGGGTTCTCAAAGTTGAGAGAAACCCACAATGGGTCGTGCACCACGGAGGGACAGGATCAGGAGGTTTGAGTGTCTAGAACATTCCCCCGGGCCCACGTGAGAAGTGGCGTGGAGGGGCGGCAGGGCCGCCGGGCGGCAGGCGAGAGGCGGTTGCGGAGACTGGAAAGCACAGCACACTTGGGCCGGTGCGCGGCTGCAGGCACGCAGGCATGGGGCGGATGTGACAGGTCTTTGGAAGAAGATCCTGCTGCCCACAGGAAGAGTCTGCGTTTCCTTTCTTGCCAACAAGAAAGCAAACTTTTGAGGGGGAGGATCAAGATGGCAGACGAGAAACACCGCCAGACAGAGTGTCTCTGCAGAAAAGACAGATTCTAGCAGAAATTAGAAAAAAGAAGCAAGAAGACGAGCATACAGCGGACGAGGGCCGGAAGGAGGGGTACCTGAGACCCTGGAGACTCCACGGGAGGAGGTCACGGAGGAGAACTGGAAGCTGAGACCACCGGAGCAGCCCGGAGACCAGCGGGAAGGGTGGGTGGATCATAGGTACTACAGGAATAGGGTATTGGGCAGGGGGGAGGGGGAGGGGGAGGGGGCGGGTATATACATACATAATGAGTGAGATGTGCACCATCTGGGGGATGGTCATGCTGGAGACTCAGACTTGTAGGGGGAGGGGGGAATGGGCATTTATTGAAACCTTAAAATCTGTACCCCCATAATAGGCTGAAATAAAAAAAAGAAAGAAAGAAAGCAAACTTTCCTGCTTTGCCGATCACTCTCCACACTTCACCTTACCTGTGCCAACCTTCCACTGTGCATTTCCTATGCCAAAAGGGAAATGGCCCCCTTTCCAGGTTTCGCCCTAAACAGACTTGTCCCTTCACTCAGGGATTTCCCCTTTCACGGCGTTTGCTCTTGCTGTTCCCCTGTGCCCACGTTCACATCCTGTGTCAGTTTCAAAGCTGAGTTCAAGGGCATTTGCCACATGTGGCCTTTCCTGACCTGCTTGCTCAGGTTAGAATTAAGTAGAATTACCTTCCTCCCAGAAATGCCCCAGAATCCAGATTATAGAACATTCTAGCAGACAACTTGTTTGGACTTTTGAAAACATCAATGTCATGGGGAGAATAAATGGAAGGGCCATTTCATACTAAAATATGCTAAAAAGATAGAACACTTACATATAAACTGTGATCCTACAGGGGCTCTGAGCCAATTTTCTTAAGATATATGCAGAAATTTGAATATGGATTGGATATTGGGTGATGTTACAGAATTATTGTTAATTTTCTTAGATGTGAAAATGATATTATCATTTTGTGGGCGAATGACTATTCTTCAGGGTATTTAAAGGTGACCTTTTTTGAATTTACAGTTGGTATTTCTTTTTTTTTTTTTTCCAAATATTATGGGGGTATGAATGGTTTTGGTTACATAGATCACTTTGGTATGCTTGAGTCAGGGCCGTAAGCGTACCTGTCACCCAGAGAGTGTTCATTGTACCCGTTAGGTAGGTTTTTGCCCATCCCTCCTCCACCTTCCTCCCTGCTTAATTCTCAGAGTTTTACTTCCCTCTGTGCACATGTTCATTCATCTGCTAGTTCCAATTTAATAGCAAGTACGTGTGGTGTTTGTTTTCCCATTCTTTAGATACTTCACTTAGGATAACGATCTCTAGTTCCATCCAAATCATCACGAAAGTCATTAATTCATCCTTTTTATGGCTGAGTAATATTCCACAGTATACACATACTACATTTTGTGAATCCACTCATGAATCAACCGGGTTGAATCCACATCTTTGCAATTGTGGATTGTGCTGCAATAAACATTGAGTGCAGGTGTCTTTGTGGTAAAATGACTTCTTTTCCTTTGGGTAAATACCCAGTAGTGGGATTGCTGGGTTGAATAGTAGATCTACTGTTAGTTCGTTGAGGAATCTGCATTCTGTTTTCCACAGAGGTTGTACCAACTTGCAGTCCCAAGAGGTGACTTTCAAAGTGTGCTGCAACTCACTTTCAAATGAGACAGCAAAGAGAGCAAGAGAAACAAATATGAACAGATGGTAACAATTGTTGCATACAGGTGGAGGATATATAAATATTTAAATTTCAATTTTTCTGTATGTTTAAGATTGTCATAATCAAAAGCTAGGGAGAATATTTAATAATAATAGATTATCATAAGCTTATTTAAGTGGCAGTTCCAATTGCAGTTCTATTTTGGGTGAGAGGTCTCCTTGCTCAGCAAATCAACTTATTCCCTCACACTTGATCTTTCAGTGAATTAATTGGTCAAAGTTCTTTCTTCACCCCAATAAAAGAGAACACATGAAGCAATTTTCAACCACCCAGTAAACATTATAGTATGTCTCTACCAACATGTCTCAGGAATACATAAGCTTTTTGACTTTGAGTCATGATTCAGCTTGCAGAGATCTTGGCCATTTCATCCTCCCTAGGATACTGCATTGATAGTTATTCTGTTTATATGAGGGCATGCAGAACATCAAGACCATAGATGCCACAGAATGTGATCATTTCCCCTCACCACATTTGCAAACATTAAGAAGACTGAAAATGTCCAATGCTTACAAACGTCGTAGTAGAAGTGGAAAGTGGTTTAGTCAAAACCACTGGAAGTCAATTTGGAAGCACCTAGAAAAATTTTAAATAGACATACATATTGTCTTAGCAATTCCCCTTAATATTTTTATAGAAATATGCACTGTGCAGAAAGACATAGGAATGAGATTGTTCAATATAGTATTATTTATCATAATAAAAAACTATGCAAAATCTAAACATCCAACAGTGGTTAAGTAGAGCAGTGGTTAAGTAAATTATACTAATGTCTATAGTACACTTAGAATATTATGCAGCAGTAAAAAATAAATCTACATGTTCTGATTTGGAAAAGATCTCTAAAATATATCACATTATTTTAAAAAAAGGTAGAGTACCAGAATTTTATATACAAGTTTCTTAGACATCTTTTTGTGTATAGGTTACATGTGAATGCATGATAAATTTGGAATCACAGTGTGTGGGGCTCCCATGTCAAGGAGTCCCAAAAATGTCTCTGTCCACCTCCTGACCATTCTACCACTAATGTGCATATGGCTTTGTGTTTCCACAGCTGGGGGTCGGGCCAAGGGACCCAGGCCATTTTTCCATTATCTCAATTAGATTATGTGTGCATCATTTCAGGAAATTTGGGGTCAGCTTTCTCATTGTCATATTTGCATCCTGGCTTTTAAAATTCTTCCGAACTAGGGTAAATAGAACAGACTTACTCAGGGCTCTTCAATGTTGAGGCTCCCACTGGTCCACTCAATTACCAAGAAAGTTCCATTGAGACCTTTGTTTTAACCCCTTCAATGTCCACTTAACTCATTTCATTTTTTAAGTGTTTTAATATGTTTTCACTCTGATTGGATGAATCCGCCTGACTCTCCCCTTTGCCTTTCCTCATCCTCTTGTGAATCACTCTAACTTTCTTTGCCA